CTGCTAACATTTCATGAGGTATCACGCCTTCTCTATGCCTTGATGCTTATAAAAAACCGCCTTACATGTGGGTCACATGAGCCTTGCCCGGATCTCATAGCATAATAGATAATCCGTTGCGTTTTTTACCAGCAACACCAGGCTCTATCTCAACGGTGCCAGCCAGTTGGTGTTAAAATACAACTCTTAGTACTATTATTATCGTGAATCGGAATCCACTGCACCCCTTGCGAAGATGAAGACCTCCTCGTGTGCCTGCGGTTCGAGGTTATCCAACTGGCTTTCCACGTCGAGCAGTCTTGATTTCGGACAGGAAACGACGCCTGTTCACATGTCGAAAGACCAGAGGAGGTAGCAGTCACGGAGGTAGCGGGAGGACCTTCCCCCGAACGCGTGGCATTTGTAGATGGCGGCGTGTGGCATCCACGCTGCCGCCGTCGCGTTTGTCGCCACTTCTTGCTGCTCAACATTTGCTGGGGGGGGGGGGGTCTGTATGAGTCATGCCGCACACACAGAGCCCCTCCCCCCATTCCTGCGCCGACGTCATCCCGAATTCTGGGCTCTCCCACAGACTCGATCCAGTCGCTTGTACATGTGCTCCCGCCTCCCCTCGGTCCCAAACACCCCGGAGGAGGGGGGAGAGACAAGGAATGGGGGGTCTGCGCGACCGGCGCCTGGTGAGGGGGCGACATTGGGTTGTTCCGACGATTTGAAAGGGTCGGCTCAAAAAGGTCTGCGCTTGAACCTTTCTGAATAAAAGACAAGCCGGAGTAGTCAACTGCGGGCAGGGGAAGGGATTGGGGGGGAGGGGACAGCAGTCGATCGGTTGTCGGGATGCTGGTAGGTGGTCCTAGCTACCCAATGCAACTTTTAACTTTTCCCAGAATGACTTAGTTAACAAGTTGGGTGGGAGGGGGGAGGGGGTTGGGGCAGAGTTGTAAGCAGTGCCTCAACGCGTTCGCCGTCCCCTCCCGCACTCTTAAGACCTTTCTTTAGTGTGAATGGGTAGAAGAAAGGGCATAGTTGTTGAGAAATAAGACGGACTCACCTGAACAGGTTTATTGGAATGCTGACATTTCTGAGAGCTTGTTTGGTTGACCATGGTTAGAGCGTAAAGTGCGCTTAACCAAACAGAAATAGAAGCGGCACATCACACAAGTCGGCCTTATGTTGACCGATTTTCCTCTCGCTACCTCGGGCTTTCGGGGTTGTTTGACGGGCTTTTTGCTGTGTGCGTTGTGAGTCACCACCTCGATGGGGGGAGAGGGAAGGTTTCGATCTGGGGCCCTTCTTCTTCTTCTTCTTCTTCTTCTTCTTCTTCTTCTTCTTCTTCTGCTTCTTCGTCAGGAGATCCCCTGTGCCTGCGCAGCCTTCTTAAGTTCTGTGTGATCGCCAATGGAAGCGAAGAGACGATCTCCAGGAGGTAGTCTTGAAGGAGACACGATCGCTGGGACAAAAGCTTTATTAGCCTGATGTTTCGGATTCCTGTATGACCCCATCATCAGAGACAAAAGCAGATACGGGGGGTCCATGCAAAAGGGGCTGTAGTATTTATAGGATGCAGTCGTCATGTTACCGCTTGTCTATGGACATTCACGGCTCCCTGTAGCTCACTGCAACCCCTTGTGCATGAACCACCCGTATCTGCTTTTGTCTCTCATGATGGGTTTGAGCAGGAATCCGAAAAGTCAGGCTAATAAAGCTCTTGTCCCAGCGGTCGCGTTTCCTTCTTCTGTGTGATGGTCTGGTGGTCCTGAGCTATGTGAACATAGTGACGTAGGACTTTGTAAGCTACGGAAAGGCACAAAGGTGCCTATTGGTGGAGTTGTTATTTGAGTAACACGTTCAAAGTGTTGGCCATTCTGCCTTTGAGTTGCCCCGGCCTAAGATGATACCTGCCTGAGGATCGAAGGCATGGCCAGCTTCTCCAAAGTGCGCTGCAAGTTGAAGGTTTGGGTCTAGCCTCCGAGTTGCAGACCTGTGCTACTGCAGGCGTGCCCGCAATTTCCACCCGGTTTCCTCCAACGTAGTTGCAGTTCCCATCATAGCAACTTATTTTGTAAACAATTGCTGAGGTTTCAGGGGGGGACCTTGTCTGCTCGGATGGTTGTAACAATAATCTTCCGATAACCCATAAGTCATAGAACCACCGGCTGGATGCTGATAACTTTGCAATTATACGGCCTTTCAGAGTGCATACTTCTGACGAATGGAAGAGAATGTGCGCATCCCAGGTTCTTGTTTAAAAGAAGACGAAGGCACGATCACTGGGACAGTGGATTTATTGGCCTTAGCTTTCGAACTCTAGCTGGAGTTCATCATCAGAGACTGCTAGACCGCAGCAGTGTGTGACCATTTATATTGTTGTGTCGTGAGGGAGGAGACCACGTCCGTGGTTAGGTCTGGTTTGTGCCGCCTGGCCCACGCAGCCGGGTGGCGCAACTCACATCGCCGCGAAGTACAAACGGCGTCAACACGCTGTGGCACCATTGTGGACCAGGCAGCACAAATCAGACCTAGCCACGGCCGTATTCCCTCCCCCCCCCCCAATCACAGCGCAACGAAATAAATGTTCACACGTTGCTTCACTCCAGCAGTCTTCGATGATGGACTCCAGTTCGAGCGCGAAATCCCCCGTCCCAGTGGTCGTGCTTTCGTCTTCTTTTAAACATACTTCTAACTTTCTTTTCTTTAGTCTACGGGTGACGAAACGAAAGTTGGAGCAAGGCCGTAGCTCAACTTCTGACGAGATCTGCGTCTATTTTTTCGATCCATGGGGCTGGATAGGGGGAACGAAAAATCGGTCTGCTGCATCACTTATTCGGAGCGGCATAGTCATGTCGGCAACCAGTGTCCGCTTTCTAACATACTGATTTCGATACAGTCGGTTCCAAGACTAGTCCCGACTGATCGCGCGCCTATTGGTTCTCTCAAGGCCGACAAGCAGCCACCTTTTTCATCATAGTATTTGCCATTCAGTAATTTACATCACATTCTCCTTCTCGGGGCCTGTTTTCTACAGACTGAGGATTTCGCTTTACAGACTGACAGCCGACTTCTGGATGGTGACAACTTACAAACCCCTTGGCTGGACTAACTTATGTGGCCCCCTAAACAGGACATGGCAGTAGGGACGTCTCGCTCAACTGTGCATAATTCTCGAAGTGACGAAATATTCCCCTGTCCTAACCGCAACAATAACCCAAATATAAAACTAGAGCGTTGTTCCAATCGCGGCCCTAATCCTACCCTCAAACGTAACTCTGCAGTCAGCACAAACCCCCTACCTTAACCCCAAACTTGATCCAGGCGTAGTTTACCATCAACTTCAACCTTCTAACCTTAAACCCAATCCCAAACTTCATCCTGACTCTTAACTTAAAACTAACACTGATTTCCATGGAAGTTGGTTCAAAGCCACTCGTGTTGCTGGCGGTTTCTGCCCTCATGTCCCGTTTAGACGTCTATATAAGTCAGTCTACCAACCGCCTTTAGCGGAACGTAAGGGCTGTAATCCGAATTCCCCAGTGGCGAGGAGTAGTAGAGATCGCCGCCTTGGTTTCTAATGTTCCAGGAGTGGCGACAAGGTTTGTGTTGCACAGGCAGAGGACAGCCATTATTTCAGTTTTGGATTTTTGTTTCTCTGCGTCAAAGTAACGTTTTCGGCTAATTCAAGTCCTACGTGAAATCTTACAGACTCCTACTTCTACAGGAAATGTTATCCAAAACGGATTTTTATTCGGCAGTGGGTTCCCCTTTATCATTATTGCGGTATCGTGGATAAACTGTTTTATTAAATAGAAGGTTCAATACTTTATATACTCCCTGTACTTATCATACGTACTTCAAATTTGCCGCGCAGTATATAAACGGATCACGCTCAGAACAAAGGCTTCTGTGATGCTTAGTCAGGGAAAATAACAGCAACGCTAGCCGACTTGATCGGAGTCTGGAAAGTACGCGAGATTTGAATTCGAGTCAGCGGGGAGAGAATATTTTAAGTTTGGCAACAATATCACTTCAGCTACTGACTCAACTATAATCGGTTGCTGGGGTCTTCGTTTCACTGGCTAATCCACGAGCATTCTCACGTTTGTGCTTTTGACAGATTTGCAGAGTGCCCTCCTTCGCACACCGAATGACCGCTTCAGCCATTTTCTCCGCATATTTTGATTGGCTGCCCAAAAATGTCCCTCCCCAGTAGCATGCACTACAACGTAAGATGTCGTCTGCTCAGGAGACTCAGCCAACGTCACTCGAATGTTCTATCAAAGCGAGATGCAACACCACCAATTTTAATGTTTTACACTTACGAAGCAGCATCCCTCCGCTACTTAAAACTGAGAGACACGACTTGCGCCGATACGTATCACAGTCGACTAAAATTTTTTGAGGTAACCGGAGTAAATTTCATCCGGTAGAATACCGCATTTTAAGTAGCGTGTGTGTATTTCCGTGGATGTTCGTCCTTGTTTAAATGCGGTGACATTTTTATGAGACGAGTACACATAACTAACTTCTACTACTCATAGTGTGTGAACTTGCCTCTTCTTTAACCTCTGCATTTGGTGGAAGGATGTAGCTCGAGTTTTGAGAAGGATGTATTTATAGTAACTTTTAAGGCCTCCAAGTGTGCACTTCCGTCCACAGAAACATCGGTATTGATCGTGAAGTATGCACACACACGTTGTGTAAGTTGTCATTTGCTTCCAAGTGACACTGGCATAAGTTGATGGAAGTACGCGATCCTTCAAAGCGTCAGCACGCTACCGTATAGGAAGTGACTCGGGATTATATCCCTGACTAATCAGTTTTGCAGCCTCACCTGGATTTATACCATCTTAAAGCTTACCGAAGCATTCTAATTAATGTTTCATGCATTCCGACAACTGTCAGTTCGACCGTCGTTGGTGACGATGTACCGTGTGCTCCACAGCAAGGTAAAGCAGGCATGTGACTTGCATGTAATGCATTTTGGTGAATGCAGACTTTCGCAGTATCTACCGCACTCTCTCCTCCCCCTTCTTCTTCTTCTTCTTCTTCTTCTTCTTCTTCTTCTTCTTCTTCTTCTTCTCCTCCTCCCTATGTGGATCCTGTGTCGAGACATAATCAAGAAGACCAGGGGTGGGAGAAGGCGCAGGCAGGTGGCGCGACCCCGATCACACCTTGGCGTTCCACTCCACATCCCCTGATCCACACAAAAAATGACCAGGATTTTAACCAACAACAACACACCACGACGGGTCGGATGGAGGTCGATGGATGGGCAGCCATGCTCACGACGTAAATATCCAGCGGGAACGCAAATGTATTCACCGGCGGGAAACCAGGCGTCGGGGAACTGCCAGCGCACACCAGGCTGCCAGCGCCATGGTTTGCTGAATTATGGCATAGCAGACGCGGTCATATCAACCATCTGGAATCGAAACTGGGGTTGTCGCTCAAGTCCAGTCCGAAAAATCGAAATTCACTTTCCCAACCGCACGGCAGTCTACTTATTTTCGTAATTAGGAATTTCCCAACCCCCCCCCCCTTCCCATTACCGAAATCCATCGTCCGATAAGGTTATAGATAATATCCTTTTTAGACTTTAGGAAAGATAAGCACTTTAGTAAATAGGAGAAAGTTTTTAAGAATATACACAAAGATAAAAAATGTACGAGATGTTCATTCCTAGGTGCGTCGAAGGGCCGGGTTCGTTGGCGGGACTGCGCTCATCTACAACAGACCTATGTGTGAACATTGCAAAATAACTAACTAAAACCAATGAATTGTATTGAAACACTATTTGAAAGTTTTTTCGTTTTAATCAAAGTATTATTAACGGACTCACCGTCTGAGTTTGACTTAGTAATCTAGTAGTAATTCCGTAGCGGGGCGACAGCGGCTCTCTGTGGAAAAGTCGCAATAGGCACGACCCATTTATAGCGGATTTCGTTCATTTGGTAGCTATGGCAACAACAGCGACGAGTCGCGATGCGGCGCTATGCAGTTGTGGGACAGAAGGCCCTTCCTTTGCGACATATGCCTTTTAGCCCCTACGAACGTTCTCTGCCGCACCTCCCGTCCGATCTATTACTGAACGCACTATTTAGTGACCCAAGAAAAATTTAAATGAAAGTGTTTTCTTGTAGTGGAAAACAAATTCTATTGCGAAGAGAAATAAGTGACAAAAAACTGTCTTCAGATCTCATCAAACGTCCTGGACGATAAAGACCCTGCTGCCGGTTCTACGCCAAGAAGGTGTATTACATCAACCACCAGGGTCGTGCAGTATGGAGTAAGACTCCAAACGTCTTTGTCTTAGGGCATCGAGGGATCTCTTCAAAGGTCTTGGGAAGGCGGCCTCGAGCTCATAGGCATTCACTCGTCCCCGTCTGTCCCAAGCCGCGTAAACATCTGTTTAGCATATAGAGTCACACATAGGCAATAGATTGCCTTTAATTACTTTGTATACCCGTGAATCACACAAATCTCTTTAGTTGCGTCTACATCTCACTCATTACAGAGCGGCAGGACGGATCATGGCAACCTACGAAGGAAATCTGCGCCATACATCATTACCTGTGTAGCTTGCCGGCCCCACGGTATACCACGTTCTTGCATGCGGTCGTAGGCCCTCTTGAAGGCATTCTTGAATGTCTTCCAAAATTGCGGTCGGTCGGAGCGCTGTTGCATTGGCCAATGACATCTGAAATAATAATTGTAGGTGAGCATGCCTAGCAGGTCTTACGGAGAACCACCCCGTACATAGGCGATCCGCAGAGCGACCACTTTCCCTGTTTGGCGTCCGTAGAAGGTGACGCTCCGAATAGCCTGTCAACGAACGACGAGATCGCGTCGCGGCCCAGCGTAGATAAGTGAGAAATCTAAAAAAGTAGTGAACATTTTGATCATATAACATACCACTTGTTGGCGATAATTCATTTCGGCGAGGACATTTACAAGGCCATCGAGATCACCAAGGGGTTTACAGCTGCCGGAACGCCGAGCCGGTACTGGTAGACGCTTGAGACCTCTGAGCTCCTCAGTACGTGGGTTCAACACCTGGCACTGAACGAATCACCGGAGGCATGCCTTCCCTGTCCCCTGCCTCCCCCGTGTACCATGCTGTGTACGTCGGCGTCAGTGATGCCGAGACGTACTGACAGGACAAAAAGTGGTTAAGACAGGTTAGCTATGCGTGCGCGCAGTGGCGTGGGAAGACGGGAAACGGCGCTCAAACGTGGACGTGTGAAATCGAGCACGCCGTACAATCGATCAGCTTATTAGCGTACGCGCATTCGATTGCGGCCTTACTAACGTTGTTGCTACGAGCGCGACCAACCAATCAGAAGCCAGCTCCGATTGGAGTGCGAGAGTCGAGACTCTATGCGCATCTCCTTGCTGCCACCGACTCGATGACTGCCATCAACAGGAGTCAAGAAGTCCTCATCCGTCCTAGCAGGCTCAGACACACTGTCGTAAACTACTTTATCGAGGTACTCCCCTTTTACATAGCAACGTTCACAACCATAATATGCATTAACGTTCTTAATTTGTTTAATGAATGCCCTAGCAGGCGCATCACAGATAACGGCTGCCAGACGAAACTGCAGCGTTCTGTCGATGTCGTCGACACGAAGACCTGAACTTGATAGGGTTCTTAACTCATCAACTAGAGGTTTACAAAACGACTGAACATCGGGCGGCTTTCCCTGCCCACAATAAATTCCTACAGCAAAAATATGACTAAGAAATGGCTGGATAATTCTGCCTAAAATTGGCCAAAATTCTCTTTTGGTCTTCTTGTGAATAGGAAGACCGTCAATAGCCAAGTAAGCTACTATCTCTTTACCAACCACCTTCATGGAAAAGGCACGTAACTGCTCAGTCAACTGCTTTACAAGTCCTAAGTGAACGTACTCACCGCCGCCCAATGCCGTTACCGGTGGCAGATCGCCTGCTCCGCCGAGAAGTGTTCGTGCGTCCAAGAGCAAGCTGTACAGCTCCTCTGGCGTCATCTGCCTCAACGCCTTCAGCAGATTGGTCAGATGCTGGTGAGGTAGTTCGGAACTGATTGCCCAGGATCGCAGCACGTCTCGTGAGGTTACCTCCACTTCAGTTGGGAGAGACACGGGACACTCTTCAAATGGACTTTGCCACTGCTCACTCATCGACGTCGATGTGTCCAGTGAAGAGGAAATAGGGGTCTCTATTGACTCTGAGCCTCTGGATGAAACTCTCGACGAAGATGATGACTTTGGCGGGTACTTCTTCCTCATTATCTCAGCAATTGCAAGGATACGGCTTCTAAACTCCCTATCGACACGCCTACGATAAGTTCTCCGACAAATTGGTCTGAACATGAAGAAAAGAAAACGGTTAAACACAATATTATGGGTTAATAGAAAAGGTAAGGCTCAGGACAGCTCTGCGTGCGCTCAGCAGCGTGTCAAGGCAGGAAGTGACGCCCATGGGCGCCTGCAGGGGCGACCACGCCAGGCAAGCACGCCGTGCTATCGATAAAAATCGATACCAATATCAGCGTACGCTCACTCATGCGCGCCCCTGGGAAAAATGCCGATACGGCTGCAGTCAGCCAATCAGAGGCCAGTTGCGAGCGAGACGCGAGCAGCGAGTCTCGATTCGCAAGTCATTGCTATTAGGGAGGGCTGCGGCCTTAACCCACATTGACAACAGGAGTATCTTATCGTCCAGTTTATGTCTTCAAATCACCCGGGTTTTCAGTGAAACTTGTTATTTATCTTTTCGCACTGGGCCGCAGCTCTTGCCTAAGTCATGTCATAGACACAGACACATCCCTAGTAGCATCGAATAGCTACCTGATGCACTGTTATAGCGGTTAAATGGGTAACAAATACACTGTCCTGGCTTACTTCCATGGAACAGTGACTTGGCCGGTTTAAACCGGCCTTTCCTGGGGCTTCTTAGTCAGCCAAGTTGACTCAGACAGATAGGGAAACGGGCATTTTAATTAACCACTGCTGAATGTAGTCGCCACAAGAGATTCGTTGATGGCCTCTCCCCTTGATCAAAGCATGGCGGCTGGAGGTAGAGGTCTTACCTTAAGGTAAGATACAATCGGCAGACCACATTCCTAGTTGAAGGAAATGACGGAAGACACCGGGTTTCTGATCCAGACAACAGTCCCCGCTGGTGAGACCGTGGCCTCTGCTTACGGTGCCAAGTGAAGTGTGATAGAGAGTGCCAACTGATGGTGGCTGTTTTAGTAAGTTTTCGGAGCAGGCTCAAGTGCTGTCTAATCGAGCCGGGAGACGGCCTTTAGATAGAGTTTATAGAAAAACGTAGGAACTCGTAAGAAATGTGTAAACGAAAACGTGCACGCAACTGAGCTCTTTGCGATCGGATTCACGACAGGGCCAAAACTGCTGCCTCCGGAGAGAATTGAACTCTCGACCCCTGGTTTACTAGACCAGTGCTCTAACCACTGAGCTACGGAGGCGACGGCCGCCGCCTGCCTGTTTGTGCATGTGCACGCGACCGTCCACGCGGGCGTAAGCTACGAGGTGTGGGTGTGATGGATGCGCGTTCACGGTGCAGAATTTTACCAATTCATTCACTGTAACAAGCGAAACTTAGGATAGTTCAGAAGAATTCTGTTTTGGCGGTTAAAGGAACAATTAAATACCAAACGCTAGGGGTAGTAGTTTTCACTTCAGACGGTTACTAAATTACGATGCTAAATAAATAGCGCTCGACACATGCCAAGAAAAGCGAACACCATTTCAACGGTAGCCAGGCTACTGTCAACAGATGAGCGAAAACAAGGCAAGCGCATAACTCAGGCGTATTACTAATACTTGTTTTTCCTTTTCAGCCAATTAAATACCCAACTTTCGTAAAAAAAACTGATAAACTACTTGTAGACAGATATTTTTTTAGAGTTTTGCTAACATACTGGGCCGGTATGATGTGTCCAAAAAATTAATGATGAAGTGGGCTGCCGGATCCCGACTTGGGGAGACACCCCTTGTAGGTGGTTTCGTACGACCATCCATTAGGATTTCGTATATTAAAATGAGCATGCAGGACCTGCTTTTAAGTGCAGAAAAGGGATCGAGGTTTGTGCTTCCACAGTGCTCTTCCACATTTTACAGCGAGCTTGCCTTCTTTTAATCGATCATGAACGGTACAGCGCAATCTGCAAAACAAAACTTTTCGCTACTTACCAAAGTACGGAAGATATAAAAAGACGGTAAGATGTGGTTTGCTAGCCCACCTGATAAACACAATACTGTTGGGGTTGTGGTTAAGGGTTAGGGTTAGGGGTTGGGGTGTAGGCTTAGGGGTTATAGTTGGGAATTGGGTTAGGGGTAGGGGTTAGCGCAACTATTCCTCAACCATTCAAAGCTAAACCAAGCATTCCAAATAGCTTTTATTTTGCGTACAACTACTTGACCTCGTTGCCAGTGCGTTCCCCGGCCCCACCTGTGAAAGCCCCTATTACTACCGATCCCGTATTAGAAGTGACTGGGGTTTGTTTACTTCAGGCGGGGCTACATAGCCACATCCGACCAAATTTTTGTACATAAACTCAATTAACTCAGGAATGGGCGCACACCGATCTATTGGCTTCCCGAAGCAAACAAGATTCGTATGCGCGATAGGGGTCACGAACAGGCAACCAATTACCAGGCCGAAGTCGGCCAAGCTATGATAGCAGAGGGGGGAGGACAGAGTCTGGGGGGTAGATTGATACAGCACTGTTTCGGGCTTGTTTGCCTTCATTCAGCCGACCATAACCCTGACCACCAGCTAGTACCGGAAACACAAACATGCGCACAGACGCACCTGACGCAGCTAGTCCACCACTGGGGTCTGCCAGAAGGGTCATAAGCATTTCATCGAACCGAAGTTCATCAGTGCCTCGCCACCTGCCATTCTCTGTCGCTGCAGATCGGGTAGTTATTCACTCAGGAATGAACGCACACCGATCCATTGGCTTCCCGAAGCAAACAAGCAAACTCAATTATATTTAACTGTCTTATTATTGGCTATGCGAGGTACTACGCACAAATATTCCTGAAGACGTAAATAAGTCACGGCTTACGCGTTCGGCAGCCGAAACCGTTTTGAGATGTCGAGAAAGCCGAGGGTTTGTATTCTAACCGAAGCAAAGTAAACCAACATGTAGCCGACGATCCTTACAACATGCGTTGTATGCTGAGTACTGACATGGCGCAAAAAGGCTTGACCACTCTTCTGGAAAAAATAAACAAGTCACGGCGCACGGAATCGACAACGGAATGCATCACAAGTATACAGCAAAAACTAAGAAATCAAGGTAATGCACGTCGGATCACGAAGAGTGGGGAGCAAAAACCGAAGGCCAGTTCATGCCAAATAAATGATCACTGAAAAGGGTCACACCGAAACAATTTGCTGCATGCGGTTACGTAAATGCGCTAGATGACACCCAAGGGGAGATTTCCTGTAGTTATTTATTAGTAAGCAACCTGGGGCCTACTGAAACAAATACAGTAGCTAGTTATACACCTTAAGCTCAGCGCGGTTACACAACACACACTCTCCGTTAACTTGTTAAACAGTCCTTTCTATTTGTTTTAAGGGAGGATCCGGAGAGTAGCAAATTAATGCGGCCATCATGAAGCTGTTACAAAACGTGAATATTCCATTTGTGTGCCAGGTTTCGGACCTACTATCGGCAACTCTACAAATGTCGAAACTATAGGCTTCGTCGAGCGCCGATTTCTCCATGTTTTCTCCTGCAAACATTACTAGTATTCCTTTTCGCCCTGCACCGAAAATATTATGTTGTGCAGACAGGCCTGCCTTTACGCATCCGGTCTTCGCTGGAATCCTCGGCCCTGACAAGACCAGTCCTCTTAGTAGCTAGCACTTCAGATGAGTAACCAACCGCGGGCTGGTT